TGAAGTGGGAAAGAGCAGCTATTCAGAATGTCGGATCAGGGGAGAGTCCACTGATCTTACTTCCTTTCATTGAAGGACCCCAGATAAGAAAGACACACTAACTCCTTCCTCTTATTGTTCATGTATGGATCAGTCCAATACTGCTCCAGGATGTTGGAGTAAGTACTAGTTATCAGTTAATAGGAGTGACTTTAAGGACCTTTCTGGTGTTCCTTAGCTTGCTGATTGAGAAAAACAAAAGAAAGAGCAAAACAAAACAAAACACACTCTAGTGAATAACTGAAAACATTCTGAAGGCAATCAAATATTTTTTAAATCAGAAGAGATAGATACTGTGTCCCATCCAAGACTGTATACAGTAATACCCCCTTTTCCTTAGGGGATACATTCCAAGACATTCAGTGGTTGCCTGAAACTGCTGATAGTCCTGAAGCCTATGTTAGTTTCATATATATACCACCAATGATTAAGTTTGAAGTGTGGCAGCAAAACTAGCATGAATGTCTTTTTCCTTCTTCACAATTCCACAGGTAGAAGATTCATTTTTACTGTCTTAGCAACCTCAGCATATGACTTTTTCTTTCTTTCTATTAAGTCGAGAACTTTAACCTTTTCATTCAAAGGAAGCACTTGAGGACTTCTTTTGGGCATATCTGAATCACTAGGGTCACTATTCTTGCACTTTGGAGCCATTATGAAATAAAACAAGGGTCACTTGGAAACAAACACTGCAATATCGAGATAGCAGCTCTGATAACTGAGAAGGCTACTACGTGACTCACAGGCAGGTAGTGTAGACTGTGGATCCCTCAAACAAAGGGATGATTGACATCCCGAGAAGGAAGGCACAAGATTTCATCATGCCACTCAGAATGGCCTCCATTTAAAACTTGGGAATTATTTATCTCTGGAATTGTCCATTTAATATTTTCAGTGGGTAACTGAAATCAGAGAAAGCAAGACCATAGATAACGGGCACTACTGCAATTTTTTGCCCTTAACTAAGTGACTGTGCTGCCAATGAGCCAATGGCAGATGAGGCTTAGGTAGATCAGGTGGAACCAGAGGACGGTCCAGCCTTCTCTGCACCCCTTAGAGTCTGGGGTCAAAGGAAGAAAGGCATCCCTGCAATGTGAGCTTATTCCTCTCCCTCTTTCACCTTTCCAGATAGTTTCATAGCTCTGGAGGACAAGAAGATGCTCCAATTCCAGCTCTTGGCTGATTATATGATGCCTCTGACCTAGCTCTTCCCTCATCACTTCAATTTATAAAGAAAATATTATCCTCTATGACCAGTGGTATTTTTATTCTGCCATTTACAAGCTTTTCCTCATGGCTGCACAAGCTTCTAATTGATAAATTTCTGGGGAAAATATATTTATGGTAACTCACATTGCAAGTGACCATGTTGATCATTTACATTGGGACAACAGCTTACTTTTGACTAGGGGTTGAAGCTTCTAGAATATTTTCTCTTCTTCAAATATTGGAACTGTTTTTAATTAATTGTGTTATATGGTCATGTGGTCTAACACCCAGATTGCTTAGAAATATAAAAGGGCATGCCTCATTCATTCACTGTCATTCATTCACTCATTCAACAAAAATAGGCTGGGCACCTCCATATGCCAGGGCACTGAAATTAGTAATAGCTAACACGAATTTACCATTTATTACATGCTATAGAATGTATAAATAATCTTATTATTTACTTTTCTTTTGAGATCGAGTCTCGCTCTGTCACCCTGGCTGGGTGCTGTGGTGTGATGTTGGCTCACTGAAACCTCTATCTCCCGGGTTCAAGCAATTCTTCCACCTCAGCCTCCCTAGTAGCTGGGACTACAGGTGTGCACCATGATACCCAGCTAATTTGTGTATCTTTTTTGTAAAGATGAGGTTTCACCATGTTGGCCAGGCTGGTCTCAAACTCCTGGCCTCAATTGATTCACCCGCCTTGGCCTCCCAAAGTGCTGGGATTACAGGTGTGAGCCACCACACTTGGCCACACTTTTCATTTTATTTCATTTTCACAAATGTTTTCTGATGTTCTGTTATGATAATTATTAGGCTGATGAAGAAATTTAAGGAGTTTAAGCAACTTGACCAAGAACACACCGCTATTAAGTGGTACAGTGGGATATAAGTTCAAACAGAGTGGGTCTGGGCTCAAACTGCCTGCCTGCCTAGCTCTCAAATACTATGTAGTCTAGTTCTTCCCCACAGGGAGCTTACAGAGCAATATAAGATTATTGATTCCCTTAAGTGTGATTTGTGATTCCAAATGTCTCATTAAGACCAACTGAACTTTCAGAATTTAGTAATATATGTGGCTACCCCAGCTAAACCTTAACTCAAAACTAAGTTAAAGTTGCATTGTGGTAATTTCAACATAGGAAAGCAAAGATCATTAATTTGGGTGGGAGTGTCCTGAAATATTTTTCTCTGAGGTTTATAGAGTGGCAGAATATGAGTAATACTTTATATTTTATACACCTTTCCCTCAGTTTCCCACTCAATGCTTGATATAAATCTTCTATAATTTTTCATTGAATGTATTCTATTGTGCTCATTATCCTAGTGGAGAATTATATGTCCCAAATATTCATGATGAGAATGAAGTAATCATATCCTTGTCAGGTGTAGTTCCAAAGAATCCTGAAACCTGGCTATGAATATTTTCATTTATTATTAAAATCTCATTGTGGTCTTCATAGTCTACCACAGTTTTTTATCCTCTACAAACACTGATCTCTTGTGTCTTTGGGGCATATACTCATTTCACTTGTATTGTTGCCATGCTGCCAAGGAGACATGTGAGTATTGATAGGTTTCCTATCCCTGGTCTGTGAGCTAGGACAGAGTGAGCAGATTCTGAACCTCAGTGCGGATGCCAGTTTGAAGACCTTTGCAACACTACCACCCTGAACTGTTAAGAAATGCTGAGAGCCTGAATTATAAATCATCACAATAATAATAGAACAGAGACAAATTTGGGGATATAGTGAAGGCAGACCCTACAGCTGGGTTCCAGCTAACTGTGAGTGTACATAAATTCATATCTGAATAAATAAAAACAGTCTTTTTTTTCTGAATCAAACAGGGCAGAGGATTTGCTACACAACTACCCCTATATGAAATGACTAGGTGGCAACATGAAATTCAATCAATCATGTTTTTCTTAAAAAATGTTTAACAATGTTTTGTATTTTCTTATCTCTAATTTTTCCTGCTTTAGTTCATTTTTTACAATATCATTAGAGCCCTTTCTAAGATGTTGATCAAATTGATTTCTACTCCTTAAAAACTTATAATGACTTATTACCTACAGCATGAAATTCAATGGTCCTTAGCATGGACTACAATACCTTTTATAATAAGGCCCCATCAGAATTCTCCCAGCTGGACAAATCCTCTCTTCCCTTCCTTTCCCTATTCTCTTCTCATATCGTACACATCGTACATACCAGCCACCCAGAATTTCAGAGTCCCTAAAGACACCAGGCTGTTTGAAATCTTAGTCTCTTAGTGTCTTATTCTGTTTTCTGTTGCAATAACAGAGTATTAGGAGGATTTTTATTCTACTGAGAAGTGGAAGCATGAACGAATGTATGCACTCAAAAGTACTAAGTGCTAAGTAAAACAGAGTCTGTTTTCTGTTGCAATAACAGAGTAACAGGAGAATTTTTAGCCTAATGAGAAATGGAAGCATGAACAAACGTATACATTCAAAAGTACTAAGTGATATACCAAATATTTAAGCAATAGCTGTGACTGCTTAGTGCAGGGAGCTACTTCTTCTCTCCAGGAAAAGTGAAAACGGCTTCATAACAGAGAGCCACATGGGTCTTGTCATGAGAATGGGTGTTTTCAGTGAAAGAAGAAATGTCATTGTAAGCTGAGAATAGCTTGGTAATAGTTACTCTCTATTATGAGAATAGCTTGGTAATAGCAGAGAATAGACTGGGTAATCTGTAAAGAAAATAAATTTATTTCTCACAGTTCTGGAGATGGGAAGTCCAAGAGCATGGCTCCAGCATCTGGTGAGGGCCTTTGTGCTATACCATACATGGTGGAAGAGAAATGGGTACACAAGACAGAGAGAGGCACCAGTGGTCAGATTCTCTTTACAAGAACACACTCTCACAATAACTAACCTGCTCATATGACAATAGCATTTATCCAATCATCTCTTATTAGTAGAGATCTAATTATCTCTTATTAGAACCCATTTCATAACACTGTTGCATTGAAGATTAAGTTTCCAACATAGGAACTTACTGAGAGACACATTCAAACCACAGCAAACTATTCTCTGCTTAAAACGATTTCTCTTCTTTCATTGAAAACGCCCATTCTCATGACAAGACCCACGTGGCTTTCTATTATGAAGCTTTCTCCACTTTACCTGGAGAGAATAAGCAGCTCCATGCACTGAGCAGTCACAGCTATTGCTTAAACATTTGCTATATCACTTAGTACTTTTGAGTGTATATGTTTGTTCATGCTTCCATTTCTCATTAGACTAAAAATCCTCCTAGGTTATTATTTTGCTTTATTCACTCTGTATTTCCAGGGCCCACATCATAATAGAAAATGATCAATGAACAGAAAATTAATTAATACCTATATAGCCTCTTGCTTTACTTTTAGAACTCATTATCCATGTAATGACCATGACAAAAACAATGATTTTGAGGGAGAAGGTGAAAGTGCTGTCTTTATGCTCCACCCTCCAGTCAAGCTATACTCTGTCTGTCTACAAGTCCCTTCATAATAATTTCATTGCAGAACTTATCATCCTAAGAGGTAGTGGAGTAGGAAGAAAAGAGAAGAAGCCAATAAATAAAGTGGGTTTTTCTCTAATCTGTCAGTTCCATCATTACTGAAAGTCAGTTTTCATGTTTTTGGTCTTTCCCCCAAAGGCCCACTGAGAAAAAATAACTTTTGTGAAAGAGCAGTCATCTGTGATCCCGAGTAGCCTCAATTTAGATAAAGAATACCTTTTAGCAGCTGACAGTTATATGTGCTCAGGTTCCCAGCTGAACTCAACTGCATCCAGTTTCCTCTTGGGTGGTAGCTCATATTTACAACTTTAAACAGCTCATAGGGAGGGATCAAGACTTTCTCCTTGAGGGAGAAGTATTGTACAGGTGCACCCTGGCAGGTGAATATAGTAAATAGTGTCTGGTTCCCAGACTCCTGTGCTTCTTCTTTTAGGAGGGACGTGGACAGGAATTGGCCAAATCGAATGGTGGCCCCTGTGTAGGCGTTGAAGTGGACATCCTTCATCGTATAATACACCTCATAGCACAGAGTGCCATTCTTCATGGTGCTGTCTGTCCTCAGCAGCTGGATTGCTGTGGTCAGGTAGTAGTGTAAATATTTGAAGTGGAATGAATGTTCGTATTGCTGTGGAGTCCTGGCAGCATAGGCCATGGCTCTAGTGAGGTTAGAATGAACATCGCTGTTCAATGTATAAAACAAAATAGCCACAGCATGTGTGGTAGTCATGTTCTCGGGGAGAACTTTTCCTCCCAGGTTAAGCCAGGTTAAGTGGGCTTTTTGCCACATCCTAAAGTAATTCTTCTGGGATTCTATGTCTTTTGTGAAATAATCCCCTTGAATGAGTTTCTCCATAACCTGTTTGCTACAGCCTTGGTACTGATCATCAAAGGAACCTGGTGCGAAGTCAAAGTCGACTTTAATTGCAACCTATAAGAAAAGAAAAATCTTGACTTTAATTTTTCAAACCAGATGGTGAATGTGGTTGCAGATTTGCTGTACTCTATAAGGCCAGGTGTTCTCCTGGAAACAAATATTTGCTGAAGCAAGTTTCACTCAGAATCATTACACTGTTCCAGTCCTTCCTGCATCAGTGACCTGTGCTAGAGATTCAATTTGGTTTGATAAATAAATTACTGAAAGCTCGAAAAACTCATCTCTCCAGAGAGGAAGAAAGTCTTTTAATATCACTAAAATCACGGAATTTTTGCATATTAAGCACTTTGAAGAAAAAATTTATAATCTTACAGTTTAATCATACTTTCTGTTTCCTCTACTCCTCCCCCTTTCTATCCTATTGTTGGTGTTTTCAAAAATATCACTTTTATGAATGCCCAAAACCTATATTAAATTCTTGAACTTCATCCTTAAACTATGAGTAGTAGTAGGTTCTCCAAGGGTGGTTCTCGTAAGTGACAACCTTCTTGTCTACCCAGGTTCTGAAAACATTGAGAATAAAAATGGCAAAATATGAAAGCCAAAATATCTGTTTCTTACTGAATGCTGTAGCATGCTACAGCAGTCACATCGTTAGGTCTGATGGCAACTGGCTTGTTAAGAGCAAATACCAGAACGGGACTGACTCATTTGCAGGCAGTACTGGACTAGGGCCTGCCCAGGTAAGATTCTTGTCATTTGGGAACAGAGAACTGATGTCCTTTGCCATCAGGCTAACCTCCAGGAGGAATAGGAGCAGAGCCAAATTCAGCACACCCAGTTGTTTTTCCCCATGAGTCAAGTACATTTGTCCACCTCGGGGACAGCATAGTGAGTAAAGAGTTGGACGGCGGTCAGGAATGTGCCTAGGAAAGTCTCTCCCCTCCTGGAAAAGGACATTCCTTTCTAATGGGTAGCTAACAGAATGTTATTTGTTGATGTCTAGTGCATGCTAAACTGAAATGACAGATATGAATAGAAGTCCACTAAGTATCATCAGTTCATCATTTAGAGCCATATGTAAGTTATATAAATTCTAAAACATTTCTTTCTTGACAAAGAAATAATGTTTTTCTAGTAAAGAGTACTCATTAAGGGACATGTTAAAGGATCACATTCCATCTAGTCAATGTTAAGGATGTTGGAACTGGAACTTTTGGTATTTTCACTATGTTATTTATGATGAGACATCAGCTAGCTGTGTGTAAAATAAAACACATTTTTAAGACTGATTAAATGTTTTTAACCGATAACTCTTCACAGTAGGTTTTAAAATAGGTCTCCAGAATCTATTCAAGCCGAGCCAAGCCAAACAAAACCAAACCAATATCATGCCTATCAACTGTCATGATGAACTCTGAGACCTTGTTAATATGTTACTAGATCTCAAATATGTACTCTGTCATCTCTTAATATTAGGCTGCTTTTTGTTACAAAGGTCTTTACATTAAAATACTTAAAACTTAAGTCAACCTGTATGAGAAAGTTCAAAGCCAAATGGAATTTGTTTATTTTGCATTGTTTGAACTATAGAAGCAATATTTTACTTAATTTTTATAGTGGATCAAGAAAATAACTTTATGCCACTAGCATCCTTAAGGTCAAGTTTACAAATGATGAAGGATTCTACAAATTTTAATAATTGTTTTCAACACTCTTTACTAACATGATTTGTTAAGATGTCTGAATGAAACTAGATTCCAAATGCCTAAGTTTTGGGCCATTTAAAGGCTATGGCCAGGTGAATGTTCTGTTGGAGCACTGATCATAAAGAGATCACCTCCTCAATTGTCCTACCTCGGAACTCTCCGTGGGTCTCTGCAGGCCAGAGAGGAGCAGCAGGAACGGCAACAGGCCTCTAAGAAGCCAGATTCTCATCACCGCAGGAGCTGCAGTAGTTGGGAGAAGAATCTTGCATCTGTTGATCAATGGACCACATTTGCTTGTATCACAAGTACTTCTTTGCTCTTGCAGCTTCATCCTCAGACGAATTCTCAAGAGTTCTCCTCTGAGGTTTTCTTTCAATCTCAGCAGGAACCTTTTTTTATTCCTGTCTATGTTGAGCAACTTCGGTTGGCCACCAACAACCACTAGCTTATCTGATGGAAGAAATCAACTCCAACTTGTTTGCAAAACTGAAATCTCTGTGAAATAGCCAGATGAGCACACCAAATAAGGATTTCTAAAGTGAACCCAAGTTACTTTTCAATGAAAAAAAAAAAAAAAAAAAGTCCCTGATCTAGTCTGTATTTAGGGGAATGCCAAAGTCCTGTTAAGTGTCAGATTCAGCAGTTCAGCCTTAACTTTCCCAGCCAAACAGGAAAAAGCATGCCCTGTCCAGCGTTTGGGGCCAAGCAGCATTATCTGGAGCCCCAGGCTTCCATCGAAACTGATAAGATTGGCATGCACAGGGCAGCTGGGAATGTGCCATCTCAAGGTGGGTGTCTACAGGCTCATCTGGTGCTGCCGATAGGCCCTGCCCAGGACGGACTGTCACAGAGCAAAGTGTCTTTTGGAGTATTGTAAAAAAGAAGGCTCATTTTACGACTTTTCCCTGGCTCCTTTGAAACTCTCCAATCCAGAGATTGTACCTCTGGGTTCAAAGCTCTTCCCCTATTTTCATTTCTGAGGATATCAGGTCCTCTGTCCACATGATTCCAGTCTCCAGTGAATCCTTACGATGACTGCCAGGAGACTGCCTATGTAGGGCTGACATAAGTGAAAATAGGGTCCAGTGTGCAAACTTAATCCAGCACAGAGGTTCTATTAAGTTCTTTTAGGTACTACCCTTTCTAGTCTGAACATTCTTCCTGTCTTCCCAACTCTTCATATAATTATATTTTCTTGCAAATATTTTGTATTTATTCTTCTGGATTCATTATTTAAGAAACTAAAAGTTAGCCACCCTTGATAATTGTTTTTCTTGCAAATATTTACTTCTGTATTCAATTTTTAACTTTTAAGGTAAACTAAATGCTGTTCTTAAGTATTCTTGTTTTTCTTGGCACCCTAAATATTTTTTAATCTAAATTTTCTGATGATCACAGCAGTTTTGTCTGATTAACAAACATTCAGAATATTTAGAAAGCATAAAGGAGAAAAAATTACATATAACCCGTCACTTGGAGATAGGCACTAATAAGGTCTGGATTTTGATTTATACACCTACAGACATACACATATGTTTCTAGAACTGAAGTAATGTAATATGCAGTTTTGCATACTGTTTATTCCCCTGAATATTTTAATGTAGGCACATCCTTATATAATTTAGTACCTTTTGAAACATTTTTTCAAAAAGGTTCACTATATTTCATAATATAGGTGCTACCACATGATGGAATCCATGGATCCATGCATGGACTGTACAGTCTCAGAAACAGATTGATTAGTAACTAGAACATGAACTTGAATAAGACATTTCAGTTCAATTCCTGGTGCTCCCTCTTCTTTAATGTGTGATCTTGGTTGAGTTACTTAACCTCTCTGTTTCTGTTTCCTCATGTGCTGGAGATAATAATAGGCTGTTAATTACACCTCAGTTTCAGAACTTGTTATTGGTCTACTCAGGGATTCGACTTCTTTTTGGTTGAGACTTGGGAGGGTGTATATGTACAGGAATTTATCCATCTCTTCTAGATTTTCTAGTTTATTTGTGTAGAGATGTTTATAGTATTCTCTGATGGTAGTTTGTATTTCTGTGGGATCAGTGGTGATATTCGCTTTATCATTTTTTTATTGCATCTATTTGATTCTTTCTTTTCTTCTTTATTAATCTGGCTAGTGGTCTATCTATTTTGTTGATCTTTTCAAAAAACCAGCTCCTGGATTTACTTATTTTTTGAAGTGTGTGTGTGTGTGTGTGTGTGTGTGTGTGTGTGTGTGTGAGAGAGAGAGAGAGAGAGAGAAAGTGTGTGTGTGTGTGTGTGTGTGTGTGTGTGTGTCTATCTCCTTCAATTCTGCTCTGATCTTAGTTATTTCTTGTCTTCTGCTAGCTTTTGCATTTGTTTTCTCTTGCTTCTCTAGTTCCTTTAATTGTGATGTTAGGGTGTCGATTTTCGATCTTTCCTCTTTTCCCTTGTGGGCATTTAGTGCTATGAATTTCCCTCTAAACACTGCTTTAGCTGTGTCCCAGAGATTCTGGTACATTGTGTCTTTGTTCTCATTGGTTTCAAAGAACTTCTTGATTTCTGTCTTCATTTTTCGATTTACCCAGTAGTCATTCAGGAGCAGGTTGTTCAGTTTCCATGTAATTGTGTGGTTTTGAGTGAGTTTCTTAATCCTGAATTCTAATTTGATTGCACTGTGGTCTGAGAGACTGTTGGTTATGATTTCCATTCTTTTGCATTTGCTGAGGAGTGTTTTCCTTCCAATTATGTGGTTAATTTTAGAATAAAGTGTGATGTGGTGCTGGGAAGAATGTATATTCTGTTGATTTGGGGTGGAGAGTTCTGTAGCTGTCTATTAGATCCACTTGGTCCAGAGCTGAATTTAAGTCCTGAATATCCTTGTTAATTTTCGGTCTTGTTCATCTGTCTAATATTGATAGTGGGATGTTAAATTCTCCCGCTATTATTGCGTGGGAGTCTAAGTCTCTTTGTAGCAGTCTAAGAACTTGCTTTATGAATCTGGGTGCTCTTGTGTTGGGTACATATATATTTAGGATAGTTAGCTCTTCTTGTTGCGTTGACCTTTACCACTGTGTGATGCCCTTCTTCGTCTTTTTTGATACTTGTTGGTTTAAAGTCTGTTTTATCAGAGACTAGGATTGCAACTCCTGCTTTTTATTTGCTTGGTAAATATTCCTCCATCCCTTTATTTTGAGCCTATGTAAATACAGCACACCAATGGGTCTTGAATTTTTATCCAATTTGCCAGTCTGTGTCTTTTTATTGGGGCATTTAGTCCATTTACATTTAAGGTTAATATTGTTATGTGTGAATTTGATCTTGTCATTATGATGCTAGCTGGTTATTTTGGCCATTAGTTGATGCAGTTTCCTCATAGTGTGATGGTCTTTTCAATTTGGTTTGTTTTTGCAGTAGCTGGTACCAGTAGTTCCTTTACATTTTAGTGCTTCCTTTAGGAGCACGAAACGCAGGCCTGGTGGTGACAAAATCTCTCAACATTTACTTGTCTGTAAAGAATTTTATTTTTCCTTCACTTATGAAGCTTAGTTTGGCTGGATATGAAATTTGGGGTTGAAAATTCTTTTCTTTAAGAATGCTGAATATTGGCCCCCACTCTCTTCTGGCTTGTAGGGTTTCTGCTGAAAGATCTGCTGTTAGTCTGATGGGCTTCCCTTTGTGGGTAACCCGACCTTTCTCTCTGGCTTCCCTTAACATTTTTTCCTTCATTTCAACCTTGGTAAATCTGAGGATTATGTGTCTTGGGGTTGCTCTTCTCAAGGAATATCTTTGCGGTGTTCTCTGTATTTCCTGAATGTGAATGTTGGCCTGTCTTGCTAGGCTGGGGAAATTCTCTTGGATAATGTCCTGAAGAGTGTTTTCCAACTTGGTTCCATTCTCCCTGTCACTTTCAGGTACATCAATCAAACATAGGTTTGGCTGTTTTATATAGTTCCATATTTCTTGGAGGCTTTGTTCATTCCTTTTTTCTCTAATCTTGTCTTCATGCTTTATTTTATTATGTAGATCTTCAGTCTCTGATATCCTTTCTTCTGCTTGATCAACTTGGCTATTGATATGTGTGTATGCTTCACGAAGTTCTGGTGCTGTGTTTTTCAGCTCCATCAGGTCATTTATGTTCTTCTCTACACTGGTTATTCTAGTTAGCAATTCCTCTAACCTTTTTTCAAGGTTCTTAGCTTCCTTGTATTGAGTTGGAACATGCTCCTTTAGCTCAGAGGGGTTTGTTATTATCCACCTTCTGACACCTATTTTTGTCAGTTCATCAAACTCATTCTCGATCCAGTTTTATTCCCTTGCTGGTAAGGAGTTGTGATCCTTTGGAGGAGAAGAAGTGTTCTGGTTTTTGGAATTTTCAGCCTTTTTGAGCTGGTTTCTCCCCATCTTTGTGGATTTATCTACCTTTGGTCTTTGATGCTGGTGACCTTTGGATGGGTTTTCTGAGTGGATATTCTTTTTGTTGACATTGATGATATTCCTTTCTGTTTGTTAGTTCTCCTTCTAACAGGCCCCTCTGCTGCAGGTCTGCTAGAGTTTGCTGGAGGTCCACTTCAGACCCCGTTTGCCTGGGTATCACCAGGGGAGGCTGCAGAACAGCAACGATTGCTGCCTGTTCCTTCCTCTGGAAGCTTTGTCCCAGAAGGGCACCCATTAGATGCCAGCCAGAGCTCTCATGTATGAGGTGTCTGTCCGCCCCTGCTGGGAGGTCTCTCCCAGTCAGGACACATGGGGGTCAGGGACTCATTTGAGGAGGCAGTCTGACTCTTAGTAGAGCTCAAGTGCTATGCTGGGAGATCTACTGGACAGAGTTGGCAGACAGGGATATTTAAGTCTGCTGAAGCTGTGCCCACAGCCGCCCCTTCCCCCATGTGCTCTGTCTCAGGGTGATGGGAATTTTATCTATAAGCCCCTGACTGGGGCTGCTACCTTTTTTGTCAGAGATACTCTGCCCAGAGAGGAGGAGTCTAGAGAGGAAGTCTGGCTACAGCAACTTAGCTGAGCTGGGGAGGGCTCTGCCCAGCTGGAACTTCCCTACCTATGGCTTTGTTTGCACCATGAGGGGAAAACCACCTACTCAAGCCTCAGTAATGGCAGACACCCCTCCCCCCACCAAGCTCAACCATCCCAGGTCAACTTCAGACTGCTGTGCTGGCAGTGAGAATTTCAAGCCAGTGGATCTTAGCTTGCTGGGCTCCATGGGCATGGAATCTGCTGAGCTAGACCACTTGGCTCCCTGGCTTCGGCCCCCTCTCCAGGGGAGTGAACGGTTCTGTCTCGCTGGCATTCCAGGCACCACTGGGCTATGAAAAAAAAGAAGGAGAAAACAACTCCTGTAGCTAGTTCTCTGTCTGCTCAAACGGCTGCCCAGTGTTGTGCTTGAAACCCAGGGCCCAGGTGGCATAGGCACCTTGGAATCTCCTGGTCTGCGGTTGTGAAGACCACGGGAAAAGCATAGTGTCTGGGCCGGGGTGCACCGTTCCTCACAGCACAGTCCCTCAAGCCTTCCCTTGGCTAGGGAAGGGAGCTCCCTGACACTTTGCACTTCATGGATGAGGTGACCCCTCCACCCGCCTGCTTTGGGTTGCCCTCTGTGGGCTGCACCCACTGTCTAACCAGTCCCAATGAGATGAACGGGTTACCTCAGGTGGAAATGCAGAAATCACCTGCCTTCTGCATTGATCTCACTGGGAGCTGCAGACTGGAGATGTTT